TTTAATTTGAGAGGGGCTAAGTTAAAATTCAGGATAGTCTTTTCCCAAACCACTTGCGTCTGTTAGCCTCCGTAGCAGGCTTATAGAACTGGGGGTTTGGTGGTCTTCGGCTGTTTTCTGATTAGTCTCCGTAGCAGGCTTATAGAACTGGGGGTTTGGCGGTCTTCAGCTGTTTTCTGATTAGTCTCCGTAGCAGGCTTATAGAACTGGGGGGTTGGTGGTCTTCGGCTGTTTTCTGATTAGCCTCCGTAGCAGGCTTATAGAACTGGGGGGTTGGTGGTCTTCTGTTTTCTGATTAGCCCTGAGTTCTAAAAAATGGGGGTAATTCAACCAGGCCGGCTATGTTGGCTATATGCAATCAGAAAATAGCACATAAAATAGCACCCAAAGACCCTGAAGACCCCCAAAACCCCCAGTTTTTGGCATGCTGTGGAGGCTAGTCTAACAAAGGGTCCCTACTGTATGAAACAATTCACAATCTACGCTAACTGCTCCAACTTTTTCAAATTTACAACCTGGGTCGGGAGGAACGACCCATAAAAGCCATTAGTGACCCACATATCTCTGCCGTTAGCCCGTTAGAACATGCGCACAGCGGCCAACTCGACACGCAGACGCCTAAACTTAGAACTCAGGCACGGAATCAATACGGATCAAATTCAGCAGCAATGACGCATACTGATGAGGGTGATTACATGTACATGTAGGCCACACCAATTTGATTGTTGGTTCTTGAATCTAGACTAAATGTCCCTTTTCCCTGATTTTAGAAGTTTGCTATCAAGTCTTTCAACTTCAAGATTATATTACCAGTCGAGAGAGAAAAACCTTTGGTTAAACTAAAAGGTAGTCAATCTTTGTTTAAATAAAGCCAGGTTACAGTAATATCACTAGGCGTTAGTAGTTTTCTGACTGCTAGTTTTAACCTTACAGACTTGAAGTTACAGAGAAAAAGTTGCAATTCACAAGAAAGTCAATGGAAGGATTTTTGCTTCTCCACTAAGTCTTAGAAACTGTGTTCAACACTAATCATGGAACAAGAGTTGAAATCTAAAGCAAGAAATCTTCGTTCAAATTGCCCTTTTTTCCTGAAAAGAAAAGAACCTTTTTTCTGTTAAAAACCGAGGCACAAGTTACAATCAGTCAGTTCTTGTTACTTACTTGTTACAATCAACACTTTTCCAGAAGAAGAATCTTATCCCACTGTTAGAGAGGGAAAGTTGAAAGACTTAAAAAGTAAAAGTAACAATCACTTCTTCAAGAATGCTCATCTTAACTACTTTTTTCTTGCATTAAGAAGTTTGAATTCCCCGAAGAAAAACTTAAAGTACGAGATTGATAAATTAGGAGAGTAGAAAATTAAAAAGTGACAATCCGTTATCAGTCAAAATGCTCTAGTGAGATTAAATCAAATTACTTTTTTACTGCAAAAAGTGAGAGTAGAATTGTGTTCACAGGTCCTTACCACAGAAAGTTGGCTTTAAGGCAGTCCAGAATTGCAGAAGGAAACTCAGAACCCAGTTCAATTCAGTATTTTTAGTTTTACAGAAATCTAACAGCCAAACTTGCAACTTCCCTTTGCTACACTGATGTTCCTCACTATGTGGCAATCTTGTAACAACATTTACCTCGCAACACTGCAAACCCCTGAGTCATCGGCCTTTCCCCTGACTTCTATTGTAACACTTCCCCCGGGACTGGTCAAGACTGGATTTTTCTGGCTGAAACCAGTTCCCCATCCCTTAACTGTAACGCTGATGTAACATCGCCATGGCGATGCCAGGGACCACACCCATATGTGTGATGTCATCAGCCCTTATTAGTATGCAGCTGCTGTCAGGATGGCCTTTGCGTGACCAGATTGTTGCATCAGCCTTAAAACTGTCTACCTGGGCATTTTCTGGGTCAGGGAAACAACTCTTAAGTTAGGTTCTTTAGTTTAACACCTTATTAATTAAATGCAGGTTTTGAGAAACTTTTCTTCATGAATATGCCTGAACAACTTTCTAATCTCAAATGTCTTCAATGAAAACCAAGGTGACTATATATACTATAGTTCCTTCATCAACCTGTCTTTAAACAGCAAAAAAGGAGAATAAAACTTTGTAGAAAAAGCTGGAGGAAATAACTTCTTTTCAATGGGAAAATCTATTTTTAATCCCTGTCACCACTCAAGGCCAGCTGGCCTGACCACTGTGTCTATGCTGTCACCCCTCGTATACAAATGAAATCACCCATGTCTAACCACATCAAACACTGTTTCTAACTGAGCGGAACGGTCCACACGCACAGACAGGGGTGTCACGGCTCAGTACCTCTGCTGTGACAACTCTACAAACAGGTGTCCCCTTTTCTGGGTGATCCTATCTTTGCACTAAACAGACTTTTTGTTTATCAAACTTCTAAGCGGACACTAAACTGCAAACAGTTTGACAGTTTTGAAACTTTAGCTAGGTAAAAGCCATTAGGGAGGGCCGGCATGGGCCATTGGGGGTTAGTGATTACGAATTACGCAAAATTTTCCCCACCCATTAGGAATTACGTTCAATTCTAGGAGTTGACTATGAACAATAACGTGTTACAGCTAATTATAATGTGCTGATTACAAATTACGTGAATTTTGGGCGGCTGCCTACGGATTACAAAGACTAAAAAAGCCTGATTTTTATATATTCTAACATGTAATCACATGATGTGGTGACATGCAGCACACTCAAGTTTTTGTTTGCAACTTATATCAATGCTGCCACCAACACAGGGGATAGTACTAGTATACAATACTCATTTTTCACCTGAGCGAAGTGAGGAAAGTCGTGTAAAATGCCTTTCCCAAGGGCATGTCAGGACTCGAACCCAGGACCTCTTGGCTCTGAGTCGAACACTCTGCCGCTACGCCACACGACCCCGCCACATAAGGCCTGATTACGTCTTACGAAAAGCTAAAGGCATGCACACCCTCACTAAGGCCTGTACCAAGAACTTTAATTTGCTTTTACCCAATGGTGATGACCTTCCCCTCTACATCCAGTGTTCTCACCAGGCCTTTTGAGCATAGGGACCCCCTATGCTGTGATTTGGACCCCTACTAGTATGCTGTGATTTGGACTCTATGCTGTCTTTTGATGATAGGGGTATTTCTGGAAGGAGAACCTTCATAAATCTTGCAAAAAATGAACTATAACTTTAGATTGAAGCTATAGCAAAGGGAAACCTTTATATGGTTACAAAATCTGTTCCACATTAAGGAGAAATAGTGTCTCAGGGGGTTGTGAGTTTCAAAATTTTTCGGTACTTGGGGGACTCAATGCGCAACTTGCACCCCGAAAGTTGCCCTTCTATACCTGACCTCTATGCTGTGAGAAAATTCTGGTGAGAACACTGATATCCTATGACCACAGTGCCCTTGTGATGTCTTCTTTGTTCCGAACGTGAACGTGAGAAATTTATCAAAGTCAAACAAACCCCCATGGATGGGACAAGGCACGGCAAACACTTCATAACGGATACTTTGATAATTTATGTAAAGTCCTTCAGAATGGACAAAACGGAAAACAACAGCCGTGAACCTTGTCTTATATCAAAGTCAATGTCAAAATTAACTTCTCTATTCAAGGACGTTCGTAGGATGGTAACAAAAAAGCAAACACGCACCTGGACGCTAGCCTGAGTCAGAGACTAAATCGTGCTCCTGGCGGCCGCCGCCCTAAGGTTGTTGCGGGAGAGCATGTGTAACAGGCTACCAGTGGCTGCCAGGGGGCCCGAAAACTAATCATTTCGAGGTCTCATCAAGACCTACCCACCTTGACAATCTAGCCATATAGCTTCTTAAGTTATTATACCAAAAATAAACTTCTGGTTTGAAGACCATGGTTGTCAGACTGAGAACTCTGTGTTACCATGGTGATGGAGGCTGTGATGACTGGTTTCCATGGTGACAGAGAATCCCGAGCTCCCATTGGCATTGACTTTCGTCAATGGGGATAAAGAAAAACCCTAAGCTCCTATTGGTAGTTCTGGGAATGCGAATGCATGGCTCTCTCGAGTTAGACTAGATAGTGGTACCGGTATATAGGAGGCCCGCATGCCCTTTTCCGTAGAGCGTAATCAGCCGTTTTAATTCTACGTAGAGCGTAGACTGTCACTATACGGACTGCTCTAATTCAATGAAGATTGTAACACGCGCATTTTGCGTAGAGCCTAATTCGCTGTTCGGGGGAGGCTTCTTGAATTCAGAGTAATACCTACTTAGTACGTAGCTCAAAATTTAGCATAGAGCATTGCCACAAGTTCTCAGATGTGAGGCCCGATCAGCCCCTGACACTAGCGAGTAGCAGCGAGAGGTTGTGTAACACAGGCAAAGCTATTTAACAATCGCGCTCTTAAGAGGGTCAACAGTGTCAGGATAAGTAAGACACAGTAAACACACACAAGTATTTTAAACCCCTCCACAATAGAGAGACTCCTACTTATGTCAACAGTAGGTAGCACAGGTTAACAACGTTAGCAAACAGCAAGTCAAAACAGGTACTCATATGTAGATAACAGCCCCACAGTTACTCAACTGTTATATAATAATAGGCCACACCAAATTTATTTGCCGGTTGCTACTAAGTAAAGATTTTGAATTCTTGAATTATGGAAGAAGCATTCTCACTAATCCTCTCATTGTCTTCGTCAGAAGGACTATGAAATTGTCTCGCCGGAGTGTGGGGAACTGCGGATTTTGCGATATAACTCTGGATGGCATCATTCGACGTCCATGATTTTTGGCAGGCAGATTACCGCTGTTGAGGCCAAAGTCAAGTACAAGTTTCGGCTTCGTGGGGGGTCCGTGCGTCACGTTAGTGCACATTTTGTGTTTGTGGCTTGTTAGCAAGATAACTCAAGTATTTGTAAAATGTTGATTATAATTCTTGGTGTGGTGCTTACTATGGTCGGGACCAAGGTTAAGTTCGTTACTGAGCTTCGTGGGGGGTTTCGTTGTGACTACAGGGGGCATTATGTTAATTTTTCTTGTGAGCAGGATAACTTTTGTATGTGTAGATGGAAGTTAATGAAATTTGATAGGCATGTTACTGTGGTGGTCTCCAAGATTGAGTTCAAAGATGAGAGTCGTGGAGCTCGTTATGTCCCCGTAATAGGACCTTTTGTGTTTAGAAATCCCCCACCTACATCTGCTTGGAGACAGCCGACAGCTGGATATATGGGGAACCCCATAATGGGATGGGATCAAATGACGTTACATTGAGGGATTGTACTATAACTTCAGCAGGGGGAGGATAGGTTGGACATATGTCAGGTTATTTTCTACGGCCGGCCACACCAAGTAATTGCTATGGATGACGTCCACTGGAGACCTTAAATCTAATTACCTTAAATTTAAGGCAAGCGCGCAATAAAAACACGAAGAGCCGAAAAGCGAGATGCCTAGATTTGGAATATACTAACTGTAGAAGTACAAATGTTAGGACACAAAGAACACAAGAAACAAGTCTTCTATTTGTCATAAAGACAAATTAACAAAACAGCAGTAGTCACCCTGTTTTGATTCTTTCCTTTATAACATCTTCTCTTATTATATTTTGCGGCGCTGT